ACGTTAGTTAAGTAAAGTTAGTTAGTACGAACTAGTAAGTTAACTTACTTAGTAAGTAATTTACTTAACTTAATTATTGTCGTATAGTTAAACTTAAGTACATAGTACACACTCTCTCTCTCTCTCTCTCTCTCTCTCTCTCTCTCTGTGTATGTGAGTAGATAATGTAACCTTAACAACCTTTCAAAATACAAAGATTAAATTTAGAATGGGTTGTGATTTACCAAATTTGTGATATTTTTTTATGTAAAAGGTTTTTGTATGGGTAACTTGGTCACTAAGTAGAGGTCAATTTATGGTCATGTTTAAAAGACAAATGGTAGTTTTGTCATCTTTATAAGGACATGGTTGAAATTTTAAAAGATGAGGCTATGTGGAATTCAAAACTATAAAATGAAAAAAAATTCCTTTTTTTTATTATTTAATTTGAATTCCATTTATAAGTGCCACAATACACTGCTGTAAATAAAAATTAAAGCCCTAAATACAACTTAGGACCTTTTCTTTTACTTTCAAATTAAATAAACACAATCCATGAATAAAAAACCAAGCTTCCACTAACAATTTAGGTACAGTTCCTGAAATTCATAATAAACATGCAAATATGACTGAAAAATAAAACTAAATAGCCCGGAAGATTTTCTGGATTATCCCTAGGGTCACCCTCATAGGATTTAGTACATGCCACACTCGATTTACTGACTTATCTTTGATCTTGTTGGTCTTGTTGAATTTTCAAAGCCGGGAAGCTTCCTTAGGCTATACCTCTTAAACTACGATTTTAGAGAACATAAAAAACAATTTAGGGTTTTGTTAGAAACCCTTTGGATCAAATTAAGGCATGCCTCAAAGGCACCTCCCTTTCTGGGCTGGGCATGCCTCTCTCTCCTAACCCTAATTAGGGTGGTGTGTGTCATGATCTTTATGGGGTGGTGTGCCACCTAGAGAGAGAGGAGAGAGGAGCTAGAGAGATGAGAGAGATAGTGGGGACTGAAGGAGAGAGTGAAAGCTAGGGGAGAGAGTCTAAGAAAAATGTGTAGAATGAGAAAAGAGCCTCATGACCCCCCATGGATATGCCTATCCAAATATGATTCACCTTGACCAATAGGAACTTAGGAAATCTGTAGGGTGAGAGAAAATAAATTTGAGTTATCCATCTCATAAATCAGCCATCATGATTTAGGGATGAATATTAGGAACTTTATCCCCTTAATATTTCTATATCCACTTTTAGTCTAATAAGGATTAGACCAATCGAAAAACATTCTAGAACTTCCTTATTTATTCTTCAAAAAAAAATTATAGAAAGTCAACAATATTTTTAAGTCAAAACTAACTCCCACAAAATAAACACCAATAATATTTTCCTTTTAAAATGTTATTTAATTAACTTCAAACATATTTTGACTAAAACAAAATCTAAAACAAGAAAGGAGAGGGGTGTCCCCCCCCTATGGGTGACATGTAGGTCCCATGGGTCCTCCACACTCCATCCATGGGGTGTGTCACACGTGGAGCTGGATCCAAGGGCCCAACATGTGTCTCGCACACTACAATATTTATTTACAAGAATACCTTTTTTAAGGAATCTACAGAAGAAAATAATTTTAAAAATTTTGAATTTTTTCTAAAATTCACATAAATATTTCAAATACTAAAAAAGAAATATCTAGAAATAGACTGGTACCAATGGGTCAAAAATAAGTGATTGTAAGAGAACTCTACATGACCTAGTAACTGTGATCCACAACTAGCTTCTCAAATCAACCCAGTAAAACCCATAACCCACAGTCTCATTTAGGGGCTCATAATTGGTCATCAAAGCTGACCAATAAACAGTGAACCACGATCTTGGGATGTGCATTGCAGTTCCCCCTCTCAAAGTACAAGTCACTATAATGCAAGGGTGACTCTATGCACATATATACATCCCTTTTCAGGGTTGCTTCTTAGTAGTGCGGTGTCATATATACATGTCTTACGAAACTTTATTGAGGATTTAGCCCTCGTTCTCATAGCCTACATTCGCGCATAGAAGGCCACACAGCTCTCATATACTTCAATCCAACCCTGAGCACCTCTCTGACCTCAACAAGGGATGATCCTCTATAAACCCTTTATGGTAATGTCACATTCTCAGGGGTAAGGGTTTGGGACATGACTAGGGCCATAGATCACCTAACCCTTGGTCAGTCAATATCACACAGTCCTACTGAAGTGTTTAATCAACCATAAATGTTAATTACGTACTCTCAGCCTATAAATGCTACAAGTACCAATAAATTTTTCACTAACAGCCAAGGGTATTTGTATTAACAAAACTCCAAGATGCTTATTATGAAAATGTCACTCTACTTCTTTGAAATTTTTATAGTGCATACTTAATGATTAAGATACCTATAAAATTTAAAACCCTAGTACCCTCTACAGCTGCATCATATTTTGATCATACAATAGCATGATATTTGTTGAGCCGGTCCTATAGCGAAAGAGTGGAGTGCAAAATGGAGGAGCTGGAGTATTGGCAGAGGAGCAAACTTTGGGAGGTTTTTTCTACTATTTGGTTTATTTAAATATTTTAGATAATACTATTAACATATGTGAGGATGGCTATCAACGATTAGGATGCCGATGAGTTGGAAATTTGGGTGGCCTTATTATAGACAATTGGGAGCGAAATGTTTATAATATTAGTAGACCATAGTCTATACTCTCCGAAATGCCTAGAGAAGCTGACCTGGCCTTTTTTTATTCTCTCATTTATATTTCACTCATATATATTAAAAGAGTAGGCTTATTTTTTGCTTCTAGTTTCAAATTTGTAATGAATTGAAGGGATGTCTCTTAGTGGCTTCTTTTAGCTGCATTACCTTCTTGTTTTCTTTAAAAGACCTTTTAAGACATTTTTTTTTATCGTTAGCACCTTGTTGCGGCATTACATGACGCATATTTTCTTGGAGTGTATAGTACAATGCATTTCGATGTTGTTGTGGCGCATTACACTTTTGTGGTGCTTTTGGTTGCACACTTTTTTAACTTAAAATAGGCATTTGTTCCTTATCTTTTGAATTTTCCTGTAATCAAAATGTTAGATACTAGTTATATTTTGCAGTGGCCATTTGGAAAGAGGAATATTTATTTTTTAATCTCCCAAGAAGATGGCTAGATCTAAGTTTGAATTTGAAACATCCATAAAGGGTTGGCTAATATGTGAATGTCTTTTTTTGTTTATGGAGTGGTATTCTTGTCTGTCTCCTTTTTACTAATTAAAATATATTTTTTTTACATCTCTGATGTAGAAAGAAAGGGTGAGAAATTGAATCTACCTTTTTGCTGAACCTTAAACAAATAAAATCAGCAATAATAGAGAAAAAACATAGCTGTAAATCAAGCAAAGAGAAGAAAAACTTTGTTCTTTCATAAAATAAAATTTATTCGAATAACATATGTCTCTCAAAATATGACATTCCACCTTTATAAGCCTATGAAATCCTAATTCCACTTGAGATCCAAGTAAATAACACTCTAAAATTACCCTAAAACAACACTGAAATTCCAAAAATACCCTTGTAAACAGTATTGTGAACAGCAGCACATGAATAGTACTTGTGAACAGTACCATGAATAGTACTTGTGAATAGTAAATAAGGAAAATATAGAAAACTAGAATCTAAAAAAATTTAAATCCTAAAAATAAATCTAAAACTAAAATCAAAATATACATCATTTGAAATTGAATAGAAATTAAAAATAAATGTAATTTTGCCCTCCATCAATCTTACTAATTTTCATCAATTGTGTCATGTTAATACTTTTAACATCATATTATTAAGGGTAAATTTTAGAATATATTACTCTACAGTTGTTCACAAAAAGTTCCATTTTGATATTCCATGGTGTCATGTATAGATAGTTCATTAATCACTAAATCATGTTGCATCGTTCTCTTAACATATTGTTATATGTATATATTTGGTTGACATATTATTATTAGATATTTAGTTACATAGTAGTTTCAGTTCAAATTAGTTTCAGTTCAAATTTTCTCCTAGTATTCACCCACAAAATTACGTTTGATTGCCTCCCATATTCCATAATTTTGTACTATAGTTTTTTTCTCAGATATTGACCACATGGTTGCTAGTATTTAAGAGATTAAGAAGTTCTCAAGGAATATCCTTTTTGTTATGTATTTCCATAGGATATTCCTTAAGCATGATGCTTAATGTTTTTGAATTTATTAATGACATATACACAAGCAAAACTAAAGTATTGAATACATAAGCGTGATATCAATCTCCCTGCTTCAAAGATGTGGTTCTCTAAAAACTCGAAGAGAGAAAGGCAAACGTGCGGAAGCAATAAATACATGATAAACTCGTACTATTATATGAAAATCAAAGCACATTTTAATGAAGAGCTCTCTAGGATGTTATATCCTCGGTCTTTTTTTCCTCTAATTAACCCCAACTTTCTTTACATAAGAAGGAGTGTTTATATTATGAGATCCTTGGACGTGGGACCAATACACAACTCATAACATTAAAAATGGAAATAATGACAAAATTTGGAGTTTGGAAATTTTGACGAACAAGATCTAAGATAAAAAACCACAAGAAAAAAACAAGATATCCAATACAGTGATATACCTCCCAAACACATATTTGCTTATAAAACATTGAAATTTTTACCATTATATAAGAGAAGTCACTTGAATAAAAGAGTTTGAGATTTTGCTCGTCTCAATAGAAAAAAATCTTCGCAAACATTCTACCTACAAAAAAAAAAAACAGCATTTTCTCATCCAAACTCTTGTTCATAATAGCTCATCAGCAAGTGTTGAAGTTATTAATTGCCATGCATTTCATTAACATTGTACATATGAAATTCAGTGTCTGCTAAGTATCCATGTCATGATATGTGATGATTCTTTTTATTGTTTTTTCCAAATGTTGTTACTCAAATGTTTTTCTATTCTAATAGATATCATCAAATTTTCTTCTCTTCTTCCATTCCTAACATTATGTACTTTGTAGGTTGAAGTTGTAATAAGTTTATTGCCTCCAAGTTTTCACTCCATCGTTGCGAAAGCTTGTATTGAGGTTCGTGTCAATTGTGAACTCTTCTTTCCATGCTAAAAATTTCACTTACATGGAAACTTCGTGCATTACTAATTCTTAGTTTCATATTGTACTCATCTTTTTTAAAGCTCAAGTTCAAGCACTATAGATAGAACTAGATTCGGTCAGTAGCTGTATTAGTGTTATTAGATTTGCTTTGCTTTAGCCGAAGAGTCTGAAGCCTTCTGTTGTAGGCCCAAGCAGGCGCAAAACGTATTTACATCGAGATTGGAGGCACGTTTCTTTCCCCAAGATTTGAAAGATAACTTCATTATTTTCTTTACCTCTTGTGTCTCCATTTTCTTGCCCTTCATCAACTCTAACAAAATCTCCTACCTTTAAGATATTTATTGTAGTAGAAACACTAAATATTTTAAACTCATCTAGTCCTTCATTTGAGGGATGTTTAAGTCATTTATTCTATAAGAATGATTTTACTATTGAACTACTCAGAAAAAGATTCAAAATATCTCAAACCAATCTAGCCTATGATCCTAGGGATTTTGCTAGCTTTATAGAGGTTTGTTTAATCTTTAACAAGATGGTGGATGTTATGTAGTCGTTTTATTGGAAAATTAGTTATTTTTATTCTTAAAGTCCCTCCCTTTTGTTACTTTCTTTCTTAATCCCATAATTATTAAATCTTTTATTAAAAAAAAATTAAAGTTGAAATCTTCCTCTAAATGGATGAAATACTGAATCCCCAACAAAAACTCGAAATGGGCCTCAAAGCAAATTTGACAACATTGAGCTGGATATGTAACAATAATGTCTAGTCTTATGCCTATTCCTTCATTTCCTAATCTAGTGGATATGTTAGCCATTTAGGGAAATGTCTACCAGCTAATGATAAAGTATACTCAAGACAAACCATGAATGAGAAGTAATTATGCAGCAATATTTCAGTATATTATTTTTGCATGTTAAAAATGACTAATGCATATATTCAGGTGGTTGTAGTTTGTTAATACCCATAATATCCTTACCTGGTTGTGTCTAGAAGGACTCTGGCATTATTGGTTTCTTTTTTCTTTTTTTTTTCTAGGACAATTAGGTCATTTATGCTAGACTCCTCCTTGTGGTACTTAATTCTTGTTGGATGGACAAACTTGTTTATTATCAATTGAACTGAAGTATAGCAGTGCGAGATCGACCTTGACAATTATATTCTCTAAATAGTTCCTTCACGTAAAAATGAGAAGCTTGATGTTGTTTCTTCTAGTGGCATTTGTTATGTGGACAAAGGCTCATTTCCTATGGTTAATAAACTTTCCTTGATCGTTACTACTCTTAGTTCTTTGTTGATAAATGAAAGAATCTTGAGTCCTCAAAGGCCTATACTGGTAATAACTTTGCATGTTGGATGATAACTGGAAATTTATCTTTGGAATGTGCAAACGAGGTAGGGAACATCGAACATGGAAGATATGAGAAAAAAGTGTATAAAAGATTGATGCAACTGGGAAAATGTTTGTCAGGTGATCTATGAATGGAACAGAAGGTTAATCCTAGCCCTGTACTTTGGGCTCTAATACTAATAAAAAATGTGTAGCTCTAATAGTAGAATGGAGAATGCATCATGTGTTGTGTGTGTGCACCCAAGCATGTATGTCCTTGAAGAGTATATGAATGATGAGTACCTAAAAATGTCTAAAGGATAAAAGTATATAGAAGAGTAGTATCATTAATTCAGTTTAACAGAGGTGAGTGGTCATGGTTCTGAGAAAGTCTCTGATCCCAAGCTTTTTTATTTTGTCACATATCAACATGCACAAAACTTGAGAGAGTGGATGAGATTATCATATCTAGTGACCTGATGAGACAAAATGTGTACATGTTGCAAATGTGCAGTATTACCAACGTATGGCAATACAAGAAAGATGTATAAGATGTCATAAATGAACCACAGGAGATTGTATTTATGTTGACTCATCCATTATTATTATTTTTTCATTGAACCTATACTAAATTATTCTGATGTTCTTTAGAAATGTTGTATGTAATTCATCACTTTAATTGTTTTTCTCAATTCTTATTCAACAGGTATACCATCATAGTGCTACCATATAATGACAAAAGGAATTATCCATTAGAGATATTTATATTGTTTGTAGTTGTTGTAAGATATTTCTCAGGGAATTGAACATTTAAACATTGAATGCTTGAACTTGTTCTTATATACGTTTTTTAGTGGCTCCTTTTGGCCGAGATTGTGACTATTTTCCATGATCATCGGATTGCACCAATTATTTTTGCTTTATCTATATTCTCAAAAGGTTGGATTGTAGCATGGTCGTGAATTCCCATGAGTTTATTGATAAAAATAGTTATAATGATGAATATTTTGCATATTATTGCAGCTGAAAAAGCATCTTGTCACTGCGAGCTATGTTAATGATTCCATGTCAAAGTTAGATGAAATGGCCAAAGGTGCAGGCATCGCGATTCTTTGTGAAATGGGTTTGGATCCTGGCATAGGTAATATATGTCATGCAATTTTTTAGATCCTTTTTATTTCTGTCTGCATATGCATCTATAGATGGTCTGCTATATGTATTTTGCACTGCCCTTTTAATGATTGTTATATCTAGCTAGTTCAGTGCAAATAAACATGAACTTGCTACATAATAAAATAAAAGAAGAGGATAATTGTCTAAAAAGTGTCACATTCTCGATGTTATTATATTTCATGATAGTGTTTTATTTGCCTAGGGGAATTTTTCTCTTTCTTCACAAGTATAATATTTGATGGTTTATTCCTTGGTTATTTGATGTATCTGGATGCTGTTGCATTAGAAGCCATATATTCTCTTGTTTTGTATTTTGCCATATCAACTATTTCTCATCAAGCAATGTTGCCTATTTTAAAATCAATAAAACTCAGCTCACATACAAATATTCAGCTTTTGCTTCTTACTGTTGGAAGCTAATGGTGCCTCTATTTTTCACTTGGAGCTCAATTCATTTCATAAATACAAGGCGGAAGAGAACATGTTTACCTATAACTATAACTTCAAAAGAGTGCAACATGCACCATGTCCTCTTGCATGGCATTAGTCAACTCCTGAAGCATCATACATATTGACTTTTCATAATTTTGACCATTAAGAAGTCAGTTTGTAGAAAGTTATTATTGCTTAGGCCAGTAGTCAATGTGTATTTTTGATTGACATATGGTATACGTAACAATTAATTCTTGTGCCTACTTTCTTTCCTTTTATATGTTTCAGACCATATGATGGCAATGAAGATGATCCATGAGGCACATGGCAGAGGTGGAATAATAAATTCTTTTGTTTCTTATTGTGGAGGACTTCCATCTCCAGCTGCTGCAAACAATCCATTGGCTTATAAATTCAGGTTTAAGAAAATTATCTTTTTTGGATGATAGATTGTGGATTATGTTAGCCTTTCTTGCTATAGATCTTGTGGAAAATGTTAACAATGAACCTGGAAGCACCTGCATTAATCACTCCAGTGCTCTCTTCCAAATCTTTAATCAACTTTGTAGGAATAACTATACTGCCCACAATTCATTTGAAATTCTTTTGAAGAATACCATTTCTTATGCATTATTTTAAATTCCCAACAAAATAGAAAATTTTCTTGTATGAAATGAAGAATGACTAGTCTAATTGCTATTCTGAGATTCCATGTTTTGGGAATGCGTGCATAATTCATGCAGTTGCCAAGGCACTATTGTGAGATTTTCTCTCTATCTTTTTCAATCTAAATACAATTTTGGATATTTACCCAATTAGGATTACTTGTCCTTAAAGATCTTTTCTGTTTCCATTTTGACAATTGAATTTTGGTTTGAGTTTGTAATCCAATATTTCATTGAAGTTGTTGCAATTATTCTTCCTTTTAGTGAGTATATATCTTATATGTGTATAACCAATTATATGCCCATTTTCCTTTCAGTATAGCTTGACTAGTACTGATTATCCTATTCAATGAAGATTAACTTTGGTTGTTTGAATGTGTTTGGTCTTTCAGTTGGAACCCTGCTGGAGCCATCAAAGCAGGACGGAATCCAGCCAAATACAAATACCAAGGGGAAATTATACATGTCGATGGTATCTAGTGAACCTAGAAATGAAATTTCAACCCAAATATATTTTATGCAGTTGTGATATTCTATCATTTACAATTATTGTGTACCACTCAGACTTAACGAAACCTTAAGGTTTTTTAAAGATGTGAAGAGGTATGATGCCTTAAGGACCATACAAGTAACTACTTTTCTATAAATAATTGAGCATGAAATTTTAAATCCCTTTATGTATCTTGAAAACAAGTTTATAGCCATGCAAGTATCAAGTTATCAATACATGAATTCCTCCCAAGTCACTGTGTTATACTTTTCTAAACCACAATTGCATAGTTGGGTCCATCACCAGCCTACTAAATGATGGTCACTGAGGGACACAGGAACCATCAATGGGACTTTGAGTCATTAAAATCATTGCACTGGATGGTAATTACCCTAGTGGACAATGACTTCACATGAATCCCATGGGAATGAAAAGTCAAAAAATTTTCCAGTGTCAGAATTTTCTACTTTTGGAAATTTGGTTCAATATATTTAAAGACTCCAGAGTTTCTTTTGCTGACAAAATGATGACAAGGCAGCTCATCCATTTTGTAGGAAATGCACTATATGACTCTGCAACAAGATTCCAAATTCCAGATCTCCCTGCATTTGCTTTGGAGCATCTTCCAAACCGTGATTCTGTAGTTTATGGGGACTTGTATGGAATTGGCCATGAAGCATCGACAGTCTTTCGTGCAACTCTCCGTTATGAAGGCATGTTGATACATTTAAATGTTTATATTCGCACACTTGCAGACACATGCATCGTGCATGTGACCCTCTCTCTTTCTATATATTGTTCATTGTCTCACTCTCTGAGCATCACCCATCCACACACGTATGGGTGGCAACGACAGCACGAGCCTTGGCCCAGGCCCAGCCCTTATCCCCATAGGGCTGGCCCAGGCCCTAATTTTTCCGGGCCAGCCCAGGCCACACTGCCTGGCCCATTGCCAGCCATACACGCACACATAGATAGAGCATGAGAGAAAGAGACGCACATAGATATGCACATGTGTGTAGCAACAAACCATTTTTTTCCAACTGATCATAACCTGTATGTGCAGGATATAGCGAAATAATGAGTTGCCTAGCAAAGCTTGGTTACTTTGATTCTGACATTCACCCCTTACTGAAAGAAGGAAAAAGGCCTACATTTGGCACTTTCCTTGAGGGTCTTTTGAAAATAAAGGAAAGTAACGATTTGGAGATGTTTGGGAAATTTGGAGAAGAAAAGTTGGGAGAAGAGAAGCAAATGGTGCTGATGTTGATTAAGTCTGGATATTGCAAAGAATTGTCTAGTGCTGAGAAAACTGTTAAAACTATCAGGTATGTTGTTGCTTTTCCTTCTATGAGAAGATCAATGTGACAAAATTGGCATGTAATTAAACAAAAAAATAAGAATAATCCAATGGTTTTTTATGAATGGTTCTCAAGATACATCCACTGTCTGTTCCTGTAGATAAATGGTTGATCTACTGTGCCCTAGTGATGTCCTTCTGGACCCCTCAACCATCCATATGTGGGAAGGGATGGTAGATGTAGCCTTGGAGTACCATCTATCATCATACGTTGGACTACTATGTCACAACTTTAAAATAAGAATAGAATCATATTTAAAAACTGAAAATGCCATTCATTCTCATGTTATATAATGTCTATAATTCTCTACATGATCAGTGGCTATCAAATGACAAACATGCTGGAAACTTGGTAGCAAATAAATGCATGTTGTGTCACAAGGGATAATTTTGGTGGTGACATGTTTGATGCCTGTGCCCATGTCGAGACTGGATGATTTTGAGAGTTATTAACCAAAAAAGACTAGGTGCGTGGGAAAGAAAGAGGTGGCAGAGAGAGAGAGAGAGAGAGAGTCTTTCACGAAGAAAGACTGAGTGCCATGGCCTTCGTTGAGAAAGAACTGTCACTCCATATGCTTCCCGAGGAGACAGAGAGAGCCAAAGACCCAAGATGGTGCACTCCGATGAGAGAGAGAGAAAGAGAGAGAGCTTTATGAGCTGCAATATGTGAGTTTGAGAGAGAGAGAGAAAGCTTTATGAGCTGCAATATGTGAGAGTCTGAGAGTGAGAAAGAGAGAGAGAGCTTTATGAGCGGCAATATGTTAGAGTCTGAGAGAGAGAGATACCCTGTGTGGATTACCTCAGAGAAGACTTCAATCATCTAGCAAATGGCAAGTGTGTTGCATGATACTCATGCAAAGAGATTAGATGAAAATAAATTTTTAGACGTTTAATTCAAAGTATTTGTTAACTTTATTTCATTTTAATTTAGACAATAATATTTTTCATTGGTGTTATAGTTTTCTTTTCTTTTCTTTTTTGAGTTTTTTCATGGATAACCTAAATACTATTATAGAAATTACTATTTCATAATTCCTATTTTAGATAGGTATAATTAGCATATCAAAGCCCTTTATATTTTTATTAAATTTTCTGGCTTTGTTCGTTCAAACGTTTTACACAGGGTTTGAAAAAACGGCGAGTCGAGCCGGACTCGCCTGGTTCGACTCGGGAATCGGCAGTACTCGTGCCGGTTCCACCACAAAACCGGGAATCGCCCGTGTCCAGAGAGAACCGGGCGATTCCCAATAGTGAATCGCCGAGTCACACCATTGACTCGCCCGAGAACACGAGCTACACAGTGTTTTTTACGGATTTCATCATTTTTTGTCACTTTCTTATCATTTTTCATCTTTTTCAGCCTTATAATCGAATCTTGCAGGCTTTAATTCAAATTTTTCAGCCATTTCAGTCAATAAAAGGTAGTAAAAATCACCGATTTTGATCAAAAAAATTTGGATCGAAGAGTGAGTTTTAGGGTTTCCGCCATTTCACTAATTTCAAGCGAAAGAGGACATCATTTTTTGTAAAATTTCCGAGTGATTGATCGTAAGAGTGTTGTTCAGAAGTTTTTGTTCATAATTTGTGATTATTTTGGAGGAATACATATCAATTTTGAATTTGAAGGCACGGGTGCACGAAAAACAGGTAAGAACTGTGTTTTTTTTTTTTTCCGCCATTCTATCAAATTCACTTAATATTTTGCAAATCATGTGTTAAATTTAGAAAGTTTTGATTCATTATCGTGTTGTTTATCATCACATGTATTCAACTTGATTTTATTTATTCAATTCGAGCTTGATTTCTTAGAAAAAAATAGTGATGTCTGTGAAGAAAAAATTGACTGCTGTTTTTTTTTTTTTTCCGCCATTCTATCAATGTTACTCAATATTTTGCAAAGAATGTGTTAAATTTATAGGGTTTTGAATCCTTATAGTCTTGTTTAGCATCACATATATTCAATTTGATCAGATTTATTATATTTGAGCTTGATTTTTGAGATTGAATGACTGATGCCTGTGAAGAACTGCGTTTTTTTTTTTTCCCCCCTCAATTCAATCGATTTATTTAATTTTTAATAATAATGTGTTAATGTTATAGGGCTTTGATTCCTTATGGTGTTATTTATCAAAACATGTATTCAATTTGATGTACTTTATTCGATTTGAAGCGGATTTTTGAGTTGGAATGACTGATATTAGGTGGGTCTGTGAAGAACTGCCTTCTTTTTTTTTTTTTAATTCATGATCAATTTTTTTGAAAAATCATGATGTTCCGAAAAATTGTGAAAATCGTGACCAAGTTTTGATTATCATGAGGAATTAAACAATATTTTTAATTTTTATTGTTAAATTTTTAGTTCAAAAAATTGCATGTTGATAGATTATTTATGCAAAAAAATACATGTTATTATATTTTTAA